CGAACTGACCATGTAGTCCTATTCTACAATTTTGAGCTGTGATTTTTACAATCATTATTACACTACCTTATTTCAGGAATACCTTTCAAAATATGGTTATTTACATCGAGAAAGCGGTAATGGAGTACGACTGTTAAAAAAAGGCGGACAGGATAAGGCTTTTCGCGACAGTCTAAAGTGAGTTGCGCAATAGTGATGTCTCAAGAACAGCATTTTCTAAACATTGAAGAAAGAAAAAGTTAAAATTCTTTTGCGCCTAGTCTTGTCAAATAAACTCAGGATGTAAGAAAATATGTTGAAGATTTGACGTGCTAAATCTTATAACGTGTTTATTCCTTTAGTCATATTATACCCACGTTAATTTTTCTACAACTTGAATTGGAAATGAGAATGATAGGATAGAAAGGTACTAAGTTTATCGCAACAAAAGCGATCAATTTTTGGTTTTTTACTTAGCAGAGCATTGCTTTAATTCTACACAAAATAACCTTTCGGGCCAAATAACTCGAGAGCTATCATATGATTTTAAAGCTAACGTTAGCTTGTATATTAGAGTGCAATAAAACGTCAGAAATCTGAAAAACAAAGAACTTCCACAGGCCGCTTTCAAACGCTTTTGAAAAACAAACATAGCAAAATTTTACTTTGCCAAAAAAGAAAGTTGAATATTGCTGTTTAGTCAGTTTTGAACCTTCTAATGCTTACTATACAGTACAACTTTTTCATCATAAACAAAAGCTATTTCTAAAAATGAATCGTTTTGATACGCTGGAAAGGCTTGTAGAAAAACTTATGCTTATCAACTTATACCTCTCAGTGACCTCTTGCGATACACGTTTTGTAGGCTTCTTGTCTTCTAGCTAATGTAAGCATTAAACAGACTGTATTATGTAAAATCTCCAATTCTGGATCTCTGTTATGCATGGTAAAATTGCTTTAAATTGGAATTATTACAAGTCAACTAACATGCCATAAGAGACTTATTTTTAACTCAATGACTTTTGTTCAGAGTTTTACCAAAATGTCTCATCAAAATGCATTTCTTCATCAAAATTCATAACATTTGATTTTTGACACACTTTCATGTTTCCTGCCTGCTGTATAAAAATTTAACAAAAAATTTTAAGTCAGTCGCTTATTTTTTAATTTTAACAAGTATGAAAATTGAATTTTAGAATGTTCCAAAGTGTGGCAGGGCTGAAGGTTACTGGAAAGGTGGATAAAGCGACAAAAGAAAAGATGTTGGAAAAAAGGTGCGGTCTTCCAGATTACGCCGGCGCTGGTGGTATGTTTACTTTATATGTTTTCATAATTATAAAACTACGTCATTATTTGTTTCAGCATTACTTCCAAAATTTTCTTTAATCTGACTTCTTTCTAAAGTTTTACGCATTTAGATAAGGTCAGAAAAGTTTAAACATGGTTTGCCTAGGTAAGCGATTTCTTCCATTTGGTACACGCCTTACATATTTTCAAACTTACCAAATGTTCTGAAATTTTTAAAGCTATCTTTACAGTCGCTAATGTGATTACAAAATGGCCTAAACCGACGGCGACATATTCTATATTGAACTACGTCGATGGTGTAACACCTGAACAAGTTCGGTAAATATTTTGAGTCTACCATTTAAAGTTAAATTACTTGGTAATAGGATAAAAAAAATAACAACAGGTTATTTCCTTGGTGATAAACGTTTATCAACTGGACAGCTTTCAGTGGTCCCAACTAGGGAAATTTTCAAAAAGAATATCTTTACTCCAAACTCGCTTTTTTAAACAACCTAATTTTATTACTTCCAGGAATGTTTTCCAACAAGCCTTTGATAAATGGTCTGCAGTGATACCACTGAACTTTTCATATGTTGCTTATGACTATGACGCTTATATGAGATTTGCTTATATTGATGGCAAAGGTTTACAAACCTTTTTCTTTGTATACAATCAAGCTTCTGCTTAAAAGCGATTACTTAAGATTAAGTTTAACAAAGATAACTCTTCTATCTCTCAAAAAAGTGGTCTTATAATACTCAAAAGCGGTTTTTAAAAGCGTTTTTGTTATGGTTAACATGCGTATTAAGATAAAACATACGCATTCTCGACAGTAGGCTATAACCCAGGCAAATATAAAAATGGCATTCTTTTTGACAGTGGTGATTCATGGTGCGACAAAGACCCTGAAAAAATAAAGTAAGATTGTCGTTTAATTTCAATATCACTTCAAGGCAAAATATTTCTTTTACAGTTTATGAATATTCAACTACAGAATCGTTTGTTTTAGTCTGAATTTCAAAATCAGTAATCTTCTTACTTTATTTCTGCCTTAAACTACATCTTTTTAAGATTTAACTAGTTAAGAATTTTTTTTATTTTTTTTTTT